AAAAGTAACTAGCGAACGGAGACGTAACACTATATTAAAGGGTAATATATACTGTGTGCTGTACAGATGTGAAGTTAATTTTATTGATAATCATCATTAAAGTTTTTTATTTTATTTTGTATCAATATGTTTCAAGTTCTGAGGTATCATCTAATGTTATTGTTAAAATAAACATTCATTTTATGTTAAAGTTTTTTTCTTCCTAGTATCATGTTTTCACAATTATTGACTTATGTTTTTGTTAAAGAACTACATGCGTTGTATTTAGCATTGATGCTTTGTTAGTTTGGTTGTGCATTGATTTCTTCTTGTATGTGTTAAAGGATTATATTTGTCATATATTAGTCATAGTTGAAGAGTCTATGCTATTAATTAATATTAAAGTAAACAGAATCTTTGCTTAAGAGTATCATTGTGTAAAATAAATAATTATCTAGATTAATCATTGTTAAAGCTTTTTATTATGATGTAACTAGTGCTTATGTTTTATTGTTTATTTTCTAATAATCAATGATAAAGATGATTTTCCTAATGTAAAATCATGTTTTAAGTATCTTTGTTAAAGTTTTGTATAATAACTTCTGCCCGTTGTATCTCAGGGTGAGAAAAGGGTTACATTGCTTCTTAACCAATGTACATGTATGAATAAAGTTAACTGGTTTTAAAGTTTAAGATTAGAAATGGTTGGCACAGCCTGAAAATAAAAATGGTAAGGAGACATGTGGTATGCAGGCTTACCATGTGTTTTCCACCTCCATGTTTAAGTATAGAATTTGTCAAAAGATTTTATTTATTCAGATGCATGCGTGGGTTGGCACAAAGCATATTGGTCAAGAAAGCTGTTAAACACTGTTCACTCTAAAACTTATTGTTCTGTAACATCTACCTCTGATATTACCTTTATCTTCTAATGGGAAAGGTTTCTGCAAGATTAGCCATACTATGAGTATAAGTGTAGATAGCAACCTTTTCCATTTGCCAGTTAGGTAATTTCTAGAAACTCCAACTTCCCATAGGATCAATGAGAA